TATTTTGGGGTATATTGTCGCATTTCTAATCAATTTTAGAAGGGTTGCATTAATTGGCCTTTCTTTATCAATTATATTAGCCGATTAATGTATGTCGGTTTCATGGTAAGATTAGATGCTCATACATACTGATGGTTATTTAGAGCACCTAACTCTAATAAAAAATTTCATACCATATTCTAGGCTTTATCACACTTATTCATTTCTAAGCAAGAATTTCTAATACAATCCTCCAGGCACTAGCTGCCCACTTACCTTCCAGCCATGGCTTCCAACGTCAGCACCTAAACACATTCGCAAACAAACATGCAGCAAACAAGGCTCTAAAGAAGCAAGCGGAAATTGTCAGCTTTATGATAACAGAGTCATCTTCCGCTCATCTATAGAATTTAAAGGATGAATACCCTTGTATAAATGGCCATTTTCCTTTCTTCCATCTAATCACGCAAGTATTCTTGTATCCATTGTAAAATCTTCATTACCCCTAAAAGTCTATCTCGTCAATTATCACAGGAAACAGACAATTCTGAAACTCAGTTTACATAAAACAGCAATCACAATATCATACTGCTCTACAATAATCTTGTTAATATTAATCTGTCAAAAGTCATCCTTTTATAGTTCAGAAAACATAATGACAGAGAAGTATTATTAACAGTGTAACAATTAAATGAGCACATTTCTCTACTCATGCTAAAATACTATTCGACGAGCTCACCAGATACATCTAACTTATCACCATGATAGGTAATGATCAAATATCAGAGTAATCATATGGAAATTTTAACTACACCAAAAATGAATCAATCACAAAGATGAAATTATCATAATATTAGCTGGGTATAACTTAAGTTGAGTTTATTCATCTTTTTGCCTCTGTGCAATTATTACTCATTCTTTGTATAATGATTTATAACATCAATCTTCAGTCTCACGCCACCTCTTAGAGAGTGGAGAAGTAATGGGTTGCTTGAGGAGGAATAAATGTTCTTCGTTTCTCCTCTCGCACCTTACGAGCCTCAATTTGCTTCTCCATCTTTCTCTTTCCGCTTTTTAGCCATTCGTATTCTTCATCCTTAAGAAAGTACTCTCCACTAGCCAGTTGCTTGTCAATTTTTGCTTTTCAGTTGAGGTGCGGAACGGAGAATATTCTTCTTATTACGCTTCTCTTAGGTTCTTTGCTTTACTGACATTTTCTTCTTGAAACTTAGGAAGAAATCTTTCCCAACTTTCGTTTCTCATGTTGGATCCTGCTATTTCCCGTTTTATCATTAACTGTTTTACGCATTTATACTGATGAAGTTATACATTGTATCTTGAAACAATTTTTCGAACATCATTAATCCTCTATACGGGCCAACAGCTGCCACAGTATTACCCTGAACAAGATATAACATTTTGTCAAAAGTTCAATTAGACTCAATGTACAACCATTGGGCCAATTAAACCTTTGCGCCTTTCACAAAATTTTTCCTTATTTTTTATTGAATTACCAATTTTAATTATATCACATGCTACATCATCTTCCAAAACACGTTGAGCTTGTTCAAAGAAACACTTCTAGCTATGAGTTTAATTAAATCTCGTGCTTATATAATATAAGGATCCCACGTCTGTCTAGTTGTTCGCACTGTCATCTGGCCTTCCACAAGGTCAAGTTCCGCCTTTATGAAATGGCCTGCAAGAACTTTCTGCACTAATGGCCAACATCACGAACATATTGTTCTCTATACTTAGGAAATAATGTTGCAAATGTAATTTTCTTCTAAAAGTCGATGTGGATTATCTTCAGGTCGAAACTCGGAACTTTCATGTCCCACGCGTTTTCCAATGGACCAGATATTTTCGTTTGCGGTTCATCCTCTACGTCACTCATGTTTATAAATATTACTCACTTTTAAAATCAGCAGCATATGTTGAGAACACTAATCACACGTGTTGCAGACATTAATCCACGCCTGCACATAAGACAAACGAAAACAAAACTGAGCATAAATTACAACACCCAAAAGTACACCGTTACACATTACAAACTCTTTGCAACACACTGTGCTGAGAATAAAGAAATGGGTTCCTGTCAAGAGAAGGAGAGCAATGGGTGATGGAGGTAGTTGTTTAAGTAAGTGCCCTCTCTTAGCTCCAATTAAGCTCTAACCTCGCATAAATAATGATGTAGTCCGCATTTTCCAATAAACTCCCGCCTTCCAGGGGTAACTGAGGAAGGTTGGGAGGAGAATTCAAGTTGTACCCTTGTTACTAAGTAACATATTATTTTATTTATTTCTGTTGAACAAATTCCAATTATTTAAAAAATACACAGGCATGTGTGATTTTCTTTGAGTACCTTGAGTTCATAGGATACTTCTTGGAGGTATTCCTCCACATATAATGGTTTTAAAACGTTTTTGTTTTGTGTGCTTTCTTTAACCCATGTCTCATTATAATTTTGTTAGAAATCTATCCTTCACGAAACATGGCTTCATTAATCAATATCGGCACAATAATGTACATTGTAAAAATGGTCTAAAATTAAAAAAAAAATGAATACTTGAATTCAATAACAAGCGTGTATACTCTGAGTGAGCATTGGGACTATTTTTCATTTTTCTAAATATGATTTTGAAGTTTAGAAAAAAAAGATTTAGTGTCTAGTAGACATTTAAGTCCAAAATGCTTACAGTTTAAATGAAATATTTTTAACTTTTTATAATACAAGTTTAATGACAACATCTTTTTTCTCAGGAGGATCCATGATTTAAAGTACTGACAAAAGGTACATAAACAGATATATCCTAAATCAGGTCAAATATTCTGGATGATTCAGTGTGATTAATTTTCATTTTTGATTGTACTTTATTTATCTAATCAAACTCAATTTTGCAATAGAAAACCCATTGATTATTCTTGTATCAATCTTACTTTCCTGCTATCGCTACCGTGGTAGAGGGAAAGTTATGTAATGCTGGGCAAAAAGACGGCGAATTTTCGGCAGAAAAACTCTTCTTACAGAGCCCTAGTAACGAAAATGTGGATAAACCCATTTGTTCAATTTGGAAAAACTTCTCTTACTCGTAGTGTAGGCAGATTCCATGTTTTGTGGGACATTGGTAGCGAATAATCGAATTACTTCAAAACGCTTGTCTGTCCGCCTGTGTACAACGTTAGTGGCAACGCGACTTTTAATCAAAAACTAAGAAACCATTTTTGAAATTTTTGAAAATGTTCAAGGGGCTACATGTAAAGTGCCCCTCAAAATTAAAATATCGGTTTCAAATTCCAGGGGCCGCGTTCAGCCAATTGTTTCCAAAATTGATATTTCCCAAACGATCGCTGGCTCGCATCACTGTCCCTTGTATTTGAAATCGATATTTTAATTTTGAAGGGTACTTCTTTACATGAAGTTTCTGGGGTATTTTCGAAATTTTCAAAAAAATATCATCTTTTGTAATTAAATTTTGTTTTGGGGGAGAGTGAGGGACACAAAGATAATTTTGCAGATCCTGTGCTGGTTAAAAATACCTGATTTTTTGAAAATTGTAAGAAAATCAATTTTTTTTCGGGAATTTCCTACAATTAAAATATTAACGATAGAGATTTTTTTCCCTAGATAAAATCTGTTCCTTAAAGATATATTTTGAAGTAAGGCCATTAACACGTTTTCGAATATTTGAGTATTTTTCGCATAATTTTGTGTGAAATGTAGGCCATTTTTAATTTTGTTTAAAAAATCCCGCTCCCCCAAAAAACGACAATTTTGATTGAATGTTGCAGGTCTCACATACGTGGAAAACTAATTTTTCGAATATTGAAAAAAATCAAAATTGTTCGTCAATTTCCAACAACTATAACTATGAAGATTCATTTTTTTAGTGAAACGTCTTCATCAAGAACATTTTCAAATTGGGTCATGTTCGATTTTCAAACACATGAGAATGATTTGCGAAAGTTTGTGAACCGTACTATTTTATTAAATTAAGAACTTAGCATAAAATAATTTGAGCGGTTTTTGAGAAAAATGTTTAAATTTCAAGCGTAAATTACACAAGAACGAGTCGTTTTTCAAAAAACTGTACATTACCTTTTCCTCAAGAGCTAATTTTGTGCAACAGACTTTGTATGAAGCAAAAATATTTGACTTCAATTTTGTTGTTTTAATTACTTTTTTGTTGCACTTTTTGAAAAAGGAGAGATTTCAATAAAAAAGAGGCCTGCACCTATCTCTTAAACGTTCTTCACTCATTTCGCTTCATGACTCATATGGTTTCTTTCTACAAGCGTTTATGACTTTGAGCCTACGTATGGTTGTTTTGTTAATAGTTTTTTTCTTTATTTGAAAAGAGCGTTTCCAACAGAAGAGCTCTCTGGTGTGGGAGGCTATCAGGGCTATAATAATAATATTTATTGAGTCACGTATACAATTACAATCGTGTATGTCGATTTTACCTGCCGAATATACTGAAAGCATTGGAAATTGGAAGACATTGTTGTTGTTGTTGTTGTTGTTGTTATTATTATTATTATTATTATTATTATTATTATTATTATTATTATTATTATTAAAACTGTTAATAAAATTTAAATACAGGTAAACGAAAAGATAACAATATATAAATAAGTTCTGTACACAACACGTCGACTTAGTACAACACCACCATGAGGGACCTTCATGGAGTTCTGAATATTCATAGCTCAACGATGACCTCGACTTTTTTTTTATTATTGTATTACTATAGTCGCATCAACCGAAGGGTCTTAGCAACCCCATCAATATTTTACATATTCAATATTTGACTTAATTTTGGTTAAATCATATTTGTTAATCGTTCTTTTTTTAACTGTCTCGCTACCAGTACCGCGCTTATGTATTACTGCGCAAAAACAGCGAATTTTCTATAATTGTAATGAGAAAGTCAGGCTCTATCGCTAACATTGCTATTGAATATTTCGACATCTCGACTTTTCATCGATTAAAATTCGATGGGTCTCCGCAGGGTGGTGATCAGAATTGAGGAGTGGGGATAAGGAATCTCCCGGAATCTCCTCGCGCTGACTCGCACGCAGTCTCTGACCATACTCTTTGGAATAGGGCGGGTCCAAAGATCTGTTTTCCAGCTACAAACTATAATGGTGGCAGCAGTGGAAGCCAGTTCTGACGCGAAACTGCGATGTGGATAGGGGGTGTACACAGGCGCTGGAAGAAAGTAAAAGCCCTCGTTTCCGGGTGCTTACTAGCTGAGTGAGTGTTACTGGAAAGTTCCCATTTGATTACTAAGTTCTTCTATGAACAGTGGAAAAATCGAAGAATATTTTATTTTAACGTGCAACTACATCCAAGATATTGTAGACAATTGTTTTCTATATTTTTACTAGTTAGCAGTATTTTGTTTGTGTGTATGACAAAGTCTTTTCAAGAAAGGGTGTATTGTGTATGTTTCATTGTGTGGAGCTTAAAATAACGCGGACAAGCTCGTGTGGAAAAATCATATTTGGTGCATAGTGTTTGTACACTAGTGTTCAACAAATTGAGATTCATCATGTTTTGCTTCTGGGGATCTTTGCGTGCTCTGATATTATGGTATTTATTATGTTCTCTTGCTGAGGTTTCAAGTGGTAAGTAAACTTTTTAATAATTAAATTTGTGCAATTATATAAACTTTATAATTGCAAACAGCTTTCTTGAATAAAACTTTTTAGTAATATACAATTTGTTTCTTAAGTTTAAAATGAAGATTGGAATTGTACAAGGGAGACTTTAGAAATATGATATGATACACATGTCAGATTACATTTTACATAATACTAATTAAAATAGCTTTTACCAGTCAACATGTTTAGGACCTACAAGTTTGTAAAACAACATTCTGTGTTTTGCAGCTTTGCAATGTGAAACAAAGTCTATCTTCGGTACTGTATTGAATTGCGCAGATGATTCGGATAGTCCATTTTGTTGTGAAAGAGACAGTGGCATTGTATACTGTTGCGATTTGGATGATTATGTTAAGTTGAATAGGTAAGTTTGTATTGATTTAGTTGTACAGACTTGCTATGTTTTTATTTCCTTTAAAGAGGTTTTTGAATTTTATTTTTATTTTTCTCCTCCTCTCACTATTATGTGGTATGTTAACATTAAATCAATTTCATTCTTTGTGATGAAACTTCATTTTACATGTGAATCAGGAATAAGATATTTCTTGATCATGTGGTAGTCTTAACTAGTGGACACAACTTTTAAACAAAATGTGGTAGTGACATGTCTTTGAAACTACCTTTACTGTAGTAATTAATTATTGTTCAGAAAATCTTAAACGTAAATTTTAACTTTACAACCTGTTTTACTAAAATAAAAGTCAAATATCCTCTTGAAATAATTACATTAGAAAAATCTTGAATTAATCAAAATAAGTATTTAGGATATTTTTTGTTTAGTAACTTGTCAGATGATGATATTTTCTTAACATCATATAGTTACATTTCTATACTTCTTTATTGTGATGCTTTTTCAGTTGGAAGTTTGTTGTATATATTGGAATTGGCATTGTAATTGTAATAGTAATAGGATGTGTAGCGTGTTGCTGCTGTTGCCCGTGTTGTATGCTATATAAACGAAGGCATCGAGGAACTGTATATGGTCGTAAGTAATTTTTATTTTTTGACCTTGTTTTGATTTTCATTCACTTTATTTGTACTTAATTGAGGATATTTTGAAGGTGTTCAACAACCTAGTACAGTTTTGACTGTGCAGACAAATAGTCCTGCACCTCCAATTGTGCCAGCTCAAGGAAATGTGCATATGCCCAACACCATGCCAATGCCTATGCCCATGCCAATGGCTCAGGCAGGTGCAGTTCCAATGCAAGCACACGTGGCACCATATCCTGCATATCCAGGTCCAACAGGAGATCTTTCAGGTAAGGCTGTCTTTGGAACACAAATTTACTTGTTTATTAGATTTGAAAATAAATTCAATGCAATGAAACTATTTTGTTTGTAATTTATTTATGTGTATTTTTTTGTAGGTCAACATTCTATGCCACCTCCACCATATAGTGCTGTAACTAATGAAGGTTATGCTAAGCAAGCACCCTACAACCCAAGTTTCTACAATAATTAATATTGTCTATTTTCATAATTTTGAATCAAGAGGTTTTGCAGCATAGCCTGCACAGATGAATTTGAGGCACTGTGATTTTGTTATTTTGTGGTAATTTGTGTTGTCTGTAGAACATTATTGTGTTTCTGCTGATTGTTACGAATACTGTGGAAGACATGTATTGCCATTTTAGAGAAAAGATTCAAGAGAATGCTTATGAGCAGTGGCATTGCATTGCTGTCACCAGGGTCAGCAGTTTCAAATCTCTTCTTTTTGGAATCATTTCGTTAAATAGGAGTTTTGTAGCTTATTATTTTTGCATGTTTGAATTCATTTATTTATTCCTTTTAATAATGCGTAACAATCTTTTTCTTTGTGCTTCAAATATTTTATCAGCTGGTGTTGTTCTTCGATGTCATTACTTGAAGAGATGCACCCCTTTGTCCCTGGTGACATCATTGTGAAAGTCATTTACAGTTACAGTGTAAGATGTTTTGTTTGATATAGACTATTTCATATCCTAATCTGTGGAGCAAATGGTGGATCTTCCAAAGAGTGTGAGACAAAGATAGAGAAAATATATTTTAGACTGAAAGTCAGGAACAATTTTTAGTTAGTTACATTTCTTACAAATTAGATTCGTAAAGGTGCTAGTTTTGTGGATGTGTGCTGATAAAGGACCAAAAGTGTTATTTTATAATCATATTCTGAGATGTATTGATTCATAATTTGCAATTTGTAGGCAATAATTGTACGATACATCAATTGTCTTAAAATTTCCTACTGTTCACTGGCGTGATATGGATTCAGGAACCAACTGTAGAATAAATTGTAATATACTACACCTGGTTTCCATTAAAGTGAGACTGATATAAATTTTATCTTAATGCAGTGAATCTGGTATTTTTATAAATCTAGAAAAAGCACAATGGAGGAAATTCTATGCATTTTATTCTTTTATTTATATTTTAGTTAAATAAACATTGCCAAATGTGAAGAGCTTTCTGCTACAAATTTATTAGTTCATTTCTTTGTGTATTGCATATAAGTGTGCAGAAGAGTGGTGTGATCTGATTTTTGAGTTTCTTGAGCGACGACAAGATAATTCCCTGCTTAGAAATGTGAGATTGATCATAATTCGGACAATTCACAAACTATCGTGGAACAGACTTCATGTCAATCCTGGATCTATTAGGTTTAAGTTCATTCTATTTTTGTATAAGTAGTATTTTTTGACAGTGAAATGACACGTTTATCACTTTACTTGCCAAAAAATGCCTTTCCCTGATGAAATCAAGAATAACAAGGCAAATAGAAATTGCAAATCATGTGCAATGTCTTCTGCTCATTTAACATAATCACTAATGAAGTATGGCTCAAAATAGTTGTAGTTGAAGAAATGTATATAGTAAAATATTTGGGCAATGGAATCACATTGAATTCATTATATTGTGAATCTATTTTGAACATCACTGCAACATTGTCTTCTAACATTTGTGTGAATAGAAGTGTCTAATTATTACAATCCTCTAATTAGAGTTTAGTTGGTGAATCTTGTAAAAATATTATTTTATAAAATATTTTATTTTTTAAGAACATACTATTTCTATATTTTTAAGATTGAACTTGAATCTTGCCTTCATTTTTGTTAATAATTTCAATCAATATCTTAATGTCTTTGAGACATCACATATCTTGCTTGCTTAAGAGACTAAGAATTATTTTCAGTCCTCCTTGTGCCATGTATGAGAAGGTTTCTATCATTTTTTTAATCTGCAATTTTCACTAGTTCCTTTAGTTTTTATAATAACTTTTGAACATCATTCAGTATTTTAGTTGTCATGCCTTATGAGTTTGTAATGTACAGTAAGAATGGTCATGTACTTCAATGAGTACCAGTGTACAAATATTTCATGTGGAAACGTAAGAGTTCTGAAGAGAATAAAGGCAACTAATTAAGCTTTTTCTTTTCTTCCCGTTTTATCCTTCAGACCAAGCCTTTCCAAGTATTCTTGGTATTCATTGCATAACTTTTTGAATTAAAAAAAGTGTTTATTGATAAAATTTTCTGTATGTTCCTTTATTTCATGTAAATGAGTACTTGTATTGAAATGAGTGTAGAAGTTAAAGCTATTTCTAAACAAATTACACACTCAAGAAATACTGTTCTGTTAACATTTGGTGGTAGCTGTCAGGGCTCTGCTGTAGGGACTTCATAAACTAGAAAAAGGGATATGAAAAATACACTATTTCTTTCCTTAAATAAAATGTATATGGAATCAAGTGTCCCAGAGAGAGAGTATAAATTGAGAAACAAAGTTTAACAAGTGTTGTTTTCTTCCAGTTGCTATGAGTTACCATTATATTTTTATAATAAGCTACAAAAATACAAATTCAGTATATTTCCCAATACCCTTCAAATACAGTAAGTAAGTAGAGAGCTATGTCAGTGTTATTATTACTTTGTCGCCCTTATGAAGGTTCGTCGTAAGAAGGGAAAGTTACGTAATCGTGCGCCGGAGAACTGAATTTTTGGCAGGATAGCTCGTGTTGATGGATCCTTTGATTTTTGAGTACTTTACATGAAGCCTGTCGTGGCTAGCTCTTGGTCAGCGTGCTCGCTTTCCACTTCGCTCTCCTGATTCGATTCCGGTCACACAGTATAATGTGCGTTTTCCTTGCAATGTCGCAGTATTCGTTCCTGTGTGAAGCTGAGAAAATTAACTTATCAGGTTGAGAAGACCGGAAAACGGCATGGGGATGTCTACCTGCTAACCACACGTACCCCCTTGACCCATGGCCGCGAGGCAGGGACGTCGCCGGTAGCCCTGAGCGTGTTCACGGGCAGGCGCGCCAAGTACATACTTTACTTGAAGCTTCAGAAAATTCTCAAAAATGGCTCCAAATTTTTTTATCAAACTTTGACATCGAATAGCGTAAAGGATGCAGGTGTCATTTTCGTTGAAATCGCAGATTTTTTGAGAATTGAAAAAGCGCAATTTTTTAGGGGCGTCTTCCTACAACTGTAATATTAAAGGTAGATACTTTTATTAATGAAATCTGTTCCTTAAAGACGGATCTTTAAGTAGGTTCATGGTCAATCTTTCACAAATGAGTAGTTTTCGTGTAATTTGGAGCGAAATATAGGCAATTTAAAAAGGTTGATTTTTTCTCAAAATCCGCTCTAACTTTTTTCTTGAAATTTTTTCCGTGGTTAGAAGAAGGAATGCTTAAAAGAACAGCAAGAGTCTCATTTTCTTTGAACTCTGGAGTTTCGTAAATTTGCAAATTAGAAACTGCGAGAAAGTATGTGCTGTTTGCAGCACCACCAGTTTCTTCTAGTCCTTCACCTTTTCCAACTCACCTCAGGCTGTACTTCCTTCACTATCTCCTCTGGTTCCATATCTGTCGCAGTTTTCGCTGCAACATGGAACGTGATAATCAAGGCACGGATTCTGATGACATGTTATCTTTTTGTTGATGCATTCTGAACTAATTTGTAAATGACTGTTTATCACGAGGTATAGGTAATGAAATGAGTTGTTTGATCATTTTTTGCCAATTTTCAATTGTTAGGTCACTTTTATGGACCTGGCCTCATTTTTATGCATTTTGTTTCCTTTTCGGGACTGTTCCTGAATGCTTTATGAATTTACAATGACGCACTACATCAACATTTTTATTGTATCATCAATTCATGACGAAAGTCATTACTGCGGTGGACTTTTTCTAACTCAAAATTACACTGATATTCGGTAACTTCCTCAACCTTTCAAAACACGATTGAAGAGCGGAGCTAACGATTAAATTTTCTTTTAAAATATAGACTTTATATTACATATAACTTTAAATAAATACATTTTATTTAAACTTGTAAAATTCAGAGAGTAAATACACATATTCTTACATATTTTTGAGTTGTTTTTTCAAAAAAATAGGTTTTCCCTCTTAATTTTAAATTATTTTATAGGTCATTGTCCTCTTGTTTTTAATCTACTTTAAAGGTAATTTTCAAAGAATGTTAAGGTCGTCAGAATAGTATAGAGCAAAATTTCGATATCTTAAGTTTTGACGAAAATGCACATTTTGGGTACCGCGACTTGGGTTCACGCCCAGACACTAGGAGGTTAGTTGCTTGACAGGGGAACGGATAAATGTGAAGTTGGATGAAAACGTTCCAGGAGTCCAAAAAGTTTTTCGAAGGGCGAGTCTGATGGCCCGAGTTATTAAGAAAAATAACTTGGGGCCCCTCCTAACCTCCGCTGTTTCACCATCGGGTCCGCAAAAATCGTGTTCACACAAAATCCCTGTCTACATAAAACTCTTGGGATCCCAAAAGGAAACGAAAACCTGGTTGTAAGGGTCTAGGAGTCATTTCCAAGTTATGGGCGATACTTGTAATGTGCAGTAAATCGGTCCAGTTCTCTACGCTATAATCTTCAAACTTCTATTTTTTTATTTTCAATTCATTTGCCGGAGAATTGGGCAATGATTCCCATCCAACAGTAGTACACTTAAAGAGTTTTGTGCCGCCGGTTTCATTAATATTGTAAAAATAGAAATATATTCTTAGCGTATTTTAAATAGAGGATTATTATTAATTTTACCCGTTAACCTATACGTTCCTGTCTCTCAATGTAAATTTACCTTTACATATGAACTGATCTAACAGGAGAACTATGACGATAGCTGAGTATGTATATAGAAATATTTAGAGTACCACTTAAATAATATTACAAACTCGTCGGGCATGCTGGGGGGGGGGGGGGTTGAAGATTGGTTTTTGACAGTGAACACTTGCTACGGTGGGAAATCTAATACATCGGTGTTACACGTGACCGTGGTGAAATATTACGATCATGTACGTGACATATGCCCCTGATCGGAAGGCAACTCATGTACTAACCAGTGGAAGGTGCACATTCTGCCGCAAAGGGATTTTGTGTCTAACATTCGAACTCAACTTTTGAAAAACAAACATATTTCAAATTGGTTTTTCCAGTCTAAAAACTAATGTTTTGAATCTAAGCACGTAAATAAAAGGCAATTACTGATGTATAATGGTATGATACGTATTTCAGGACTATTTCTTGAATATGCGTGTTAAGAAAATCATATATTTCAATGAAAACGTCATTCATATCTTAAGACGTCGAAAATAACACTGAAGATGTGTTTTATTTCATTGGTTGCTCTTCATTCATGCATTAGAAAACGCTGCCACGGATTAACATAACCTTTATTGATCAAACATCACACATGTAGAGTAAGGTTCAGGATATACTAATGCTGTAGATTATCTCAGAAATCGGAAATACAATTGTAACAAAGTAAGCAGTTTTTTTTAATTCATGAACGAGTGTAACACGTGAAGTAAACAACGGAATTGACTCATTTTCTACAAAAGTATTGTCGTGCTAATTAATTGTATCTGATGACCGAATGAAGCAAGTGAAATATTGCAAAGAAAACAACTAAATCGTAATGCACAAGAGGATTACACCCATTGATGCTGCAGGTTAGTTAAATCAATAAACACGTTATCCAGGCAACTAGTAACTGTTTATGTTTGGGGAAGGCAAACAACTTTGTAAAGGTTATATTTGTCTACGAAAACGGACCGTGTAAAGCTGCTATTGAAGACGTTTTATCTTCAAAAAGTTTCAACATCTTGAAAACAAGTACAGAAATGGCGGATGATAAAAGTGACATTGATGGAGATTTTCCAAGTGAAAGGTACATTCTATTTAAATTACGTTTTACTGGAAGTGATTATTCAATAATATTAGTTATTGTTCCTTGAGAAACACTTTGAAGAGGGAAGGCGGAAATTTTTCAGTTTCGAAAGTAGCTTGTGTTAAAATAGCAAAGATCATGATTTAACGGAGTTCTGTTGATTAAAATCAAATTCCATGGCTACTTACAGTGCATGGCTGAATTTTATTATGATATGTGCCTCAGGTACTTAGTAACTTTTTTTTAGAAACTTTTCAATATTGCCTTTCCACTCTTTGAAGATGTAATTTATTAATTCAGGAGCCTATCCATAATTATGGGTGTAGATATCATTAATTTAAAATCAAACAATACAAGAATTTTACTGTCGCAAGGATCCGTATATTTTTGTCTAATAATTTGCATCAGAGGGAGGGGAGAATTAATAACTTTTCCTACGAAATCGGCACATTTTCAAGAATTTGCACAAGTCAAGACGCATTTGGATTTCTATTCAACTGCGTGTTTGTTTGAGGTTAGTTCGGATGCGGAAGACAGCCGATTTGATCTCGTGGAGAGGCTGGACACAGAGGACCTGCAGGCTCTGCGGAACCACTTTTTTCCTTCGGAGGAGGTCGACCAGATGAAAGAAGCGAGAAACAAATTCACTCTGGGATATAAATACTGCGGAGTTCCACTGACTAAAGAAGATTTCGTGAAGGCGATGGAACGTATTTTAGGTAAGTGGTTAATATTAGTTGTGCAATACAACTGAATTCAAAACTGAACTGAAATAAGCACAACTGAATTCAAAATTTATCTTATCAAATCTGATCTTAAAATTGAGTCAATTCCGTCATGAAAACGATACTTTTTATTTTAATAATTTCCAGCCTCACGATAGCCACACAAATTTCTGCGGCGACCAATAAACTTAAACCATCGGCTTGATAGTTGATATGATGTTTTCTTTTGTACGACAATTGTTACTTTTCTCTCAAGATCTCCTATTTAATATCTTTTAACATTAATTATTTTAGCCAACAGATTTTATAAAGGCATGGGATAAATCGATGGAAAATGCCTTTGGCAGTCAATGTTTCGTAGACATGTATAACTTCAATAAATAGTACTACTGTCGTTTTCAAACTGAAAAAATACATTTATTTATCATAAAATACAGCATTTTCCAAATTGCCAAGAATAGTTGATATTACGTAAATGAATTCCTCTGATGAATTCGGGCTTTGTCTATTGTTTATCCAATTAAAATAAAAATACGTAAGTCACATTTACACATTTTGAATTTAAATTCACTAAAATAATATATTACCATTAGAATATTATGTAAAAACGACACAAATAAACAATTTTAAATACAGTTTGTCTTGTTGGTTTAGCTATTGCTTGAGTTTAGTTCTTTTATTTACTCAAGGAGCAACCTTCAGAGTATTTCGTAATCACTCGATTGTCGATTACTTGGCTGTTTCTATTAAATACCATATTCTCACGTTATTGAACGTTCAATACTCCTGCTCAGGGGCGGATTCTGCGGGATCCCCAAGCACAAAGTCGTACTGAGATCCGGAAAAATATTCAATATTTACGCATTCGTTTTCAAACATTAATGTGTACTTAAAATTAGACCAATGTAACACTTATCAAATATTTTCATTTCTTAAAATAAAATTATCAGCACAGTAGACTTTTCGATTAACAATTGAAGGGTTTACTAGAACAGGGGCATATCCCATATTTTTTTGTGAAATTGAGTTATTAGCATTAAATGAAACTTCAAATGTTTTTCTTTTAGTGTAATATGTTATTTAAAACCAGTATGTATATGCAAGTGTACCAAGTTGTATAATGAAAGTTCTAGTATAATCATCAGTAACTCAAAACTAAGTCGTTGTGGAATGGCCCCTTGTATTAACGAGCCCTTCAATTACTTGTATTTTATAGATGCGTACACGTTTGTTGGCATTTTTTGAATATTTTAAGAACTTTCTCCGGGGCGCGGGGCCGCCCATGGATTGGAGGCAAGCAACTGCTTATTTTGCTGAAGGTAAATCCAAGCCTGCCCCTGTAACGTCACAACCATCGCCACTACAATACTTTTCACACAATATTTCTTCAAGCAAATGTCTACTTACCGGAATCACTTACGTTTATTTTGGAAGTTTAAATATTTACCAAAAATATTTATAAAAATTGGCGAATGTTAAAATTACTACAAACAATCCCTCTATTCTAATATTCACGTCCGCGACGTATCGCTCTTCGTTCTTGGCCCCGGCAGAGACCCCGGCCCCGTCAGAACGACTCCGAACAAGTGAGTAACGCTCTTCTTCGTTTCATCTGTCGTGTCTCTTGCATAGAGTAAAGATATCTCTACTCTAGTAGAGTAGTTGTATCTCTCCTCTGTGGTCTGTTGTCTATCGACATCTTTTTGCTCAATGTTCTGCATAAATTCTTCTTCAATACTCAATATTTATTCACATTTGTGTCACTAGTGTATATAATTACGTTTTTAAGTATTTCGGAAAATTAATCACTACATTCACTATAGTCTTACCAGAAAATAATTTTGTAAAAAATACTTAATAATTAATTTCGGTTAATAAAATGTTTGCGATTTAGTGTGTGTTTTGATAAGAAATATATTTCTGTTCCGTTTGTGGTTTCCGGATGCTCCCTGAAGAAGCTATCAGTGTTCTTCTAGACACTTGCAATTATTTATATTTAAACAATGTCTTCCCACAAAAATGGACAGAAGCTGTTATTGTTCCCATTCACAAATCTGGAAAGGATACATTTTTAATAGACAGTTACAGGCCTATTGCCCTCACTTGTTGCCTATGTAAAAACCGCAAAGACATACCCACCTTAGACAGCATTGCAATAATCGAGAACAGAATCTACAATGGATTCGCCAATAATATGTTCACGGTGGTACTAAGCCTCGACATCGAAAAGGCATATGAAATGGTCTGGCGCCGACGTATCATGGACATAATAACTAATCATGTCATTAAAGGCAGCATAGCTAAGGTTGTTAATAACTTCATCAAAGAACGGTACATTAATGTCAGAGTAAGAGTATCCCTATCAGAGAGATTATGCTGAAAAATGCAGTACCGCAGGTCTCTGTGCATAGTGTGACCTTGTTTCTGTAGATAATAAACGAACTTCAAAATCAAACCACCTGCGCTAGTCAGCATGTACGCAGATGACTGCAATTATGCATCACTGGTAAACATCTGTCTTCCCTAGCAGTCACAGCGCAAAACATCTTAAGACACCATCCTCGCATTCTCCACTAATGTTGGTCTAAAATTCTCCAAGACGAAATCCACATCCATCATTTTCTCCAGGAAACTATCATCTGAGAAGACCCTATCCATGAACCTGGATGAACATAAGATAAAACAATGTAAAACTTTAAAATTCTTAGGCCTGACACTTGACGAAAGGCTATCCTTGATAGCTCACATTAAAACCCTGAAAGTGGAATGTACCAAAAGGCTAAATTTGATGAAAAGCATAAGCCACGCATCTTGGGAGCCGATTATACAGTTCTTAGTAGAACATTCCAGGCATTGATCAGGGCTAAAATGGATTACTGCATCATATTCTACGATGCTACAAATAAGAATATTAAAAGAATACTCGATCCTATCAATAACACTGGTGCCAGACTTATATGCGGAGCATACAAAACAAATCCGGTGATAAGCATGTTACAGGAAGCTAATTTCCCACCTCCAGATAAAAGAAGAGATCTAGTCGTAGGATATATAAGCAAAGTTATAGCAAACTGCGGCAACAAACTTCAACAAACTGCGGATGCTTAACATATGGTACTTTTTTTTTAAGTCAAAGCTTCATTCCATATTTTAAGACTTTTTTTTCAAAAGATTCTGATGCTGCGTTTTTAATTATGATTTTGATGTTCGCCATTTCTTCGCCTGTATCACTAGTGATGACACCTTCAACCTTCTGGGTTATTCTGGATTGGTATAAATATATTACACTTTCTTGTCAGAGTGGGTGGTGTTTGAAGACTTCTGACTCTTCCTGATTTTGTTAGTACATGATCAAATATTTTCTTCTTCCATCTTGCTAGGATTTCTTTATCTTATTTCAACAGGTACTTACGAAGCTTAATAACAAGTACAAGCTTTTCAACAAGTGCTTACGAAGTACTTCGTATGAAGAGGAAGTTATGTAATAATGCAGCGAAGAACGTCGAATTTTCGCCAGAAAAAGTCTTATTGCCGGGCCCTGGTAACGAAAAAGATGATAAATCCTATTGCTAAATAAAAAAAAAACTTTTAAAACGTGGGGTAGCCAGGATCCATGTTTTGGTTCTCGATACCGCAAAATCGATTGACGGAAACACGTCTGTCTGTTTCTCTGTCCGTCCGTCCGAGGTAAACGCTACCGCCGAAACCGCCAGTCGATTATCTTCAAGATTGATATTCTCCAATCGATCTAAGTAAACTTGTGACTTTGGGAGTTTCAAATGTATATTTTTCTTTTTGAAGGTACTTCACATGAAGCTTCGAGGCAAAAGGAAACGGGTTGGAATCCCGCGCAGGGTTTTTAATTAGATGAATGTGTTATTGCAGAAAACTATTGAGAATTCGAGAATCCTAATTGAAAACCATTTGAAACACATCTACACACAAATACAATCAATACGTATAAACCAAAATGTATTGATTGGAGAATTTGCAACTTTTAGACAATTTTACAACTCTCTTTTTGGATTTCTAAAATGTATGTAACGTCAAATCAAACATCTATCTATCCATCTGCATGAACCGATTTAACTAAATACTACTCAATCTATCAACATGAAATTTAAATATATTATATACATTCCCCATTAGACCAACTTAGTATTTCTTTTACCGTGATATCCCTAACGGTTTCGAATCTAATTACGTCTCGCTCTTACGTAGGTTGTTGTCATACTGCCATTCTGTGAGGTAGTAGTGTGGGTGTCGGCAAGTTAACTCTGAGGATTTGAGTCTGAGAGCGAAAATACATGTTTGATGATTGAAAATATTTTGGAAAGTTTATGTAATAGAATAATATAGCGAAGCAGTTAGAAATAATGCAGTAAAGTATGTGCTTTTGTAGCACCACTAGTTTGTTTCTGAAACAATGGCTGTATTTATGTTTTTTCTTTAAGTTCCCTATCTTTGTTGGATAGTCCTCGCATTACAAACAGCAATCTTTAGCAGTTCTTTTATTCCAAATCTCTTAACCCTTTTCTCGTCAAATTCGATCCGGCTAATTTCTGTGAAGCTTGCGAGTAAATAAATGCACGTGGGAGGGTTCCCAGCCTTTTGCACAATTTCGAGGAGGAATCAGGGTAGACGGGGGAATCAGGATGTTTCTTCAAGTCCCCTTGAGACGACCTCTAGACGTTATGTATATCTTCGTAATCTAACCAATTCAATCAATGCATTATTAATACCTCTACTATGTAACACAGCGTAACGCTGCCTCAACCGCCCCTACACAGGAACACCGGTAGCTGTCAAATGTCCGATTAATCCAAACCTAAATTGCGAAATACATTATTATTTATTTATTTATTTATTTATTTATTTATTTATTTATTTATTTATTTATTTATTTATTTATACGAATATTACTCGTATATCATACATTGTTGGTGGTTGCGCGCAGGGAGCTCTGTGTACGCGGGCAGCGCTGCGCGACTGTTCGTGGCACTGGACACGCACAAGTGCGGCGCCGTGTGGTGGGAGCAGCTGCTGGACCACATGATCGAGCGCATCGGGCGCCGCGACCGTGAGCCCGCCGCCTGCCGCCCGCTCGACCCGCGCGTCGACGTGCACCACGCTGACCACTGCAAGGTACGCTCCCCCTCCCCTCGACCACTCGCCGGCGGTCGTTCGCGATCTCGGGATGTTCACGAAGGAAAAGGAAAAAGTGGACTGAAAGGACTCCATTAACAAACCCATATCATCACCATTCCGGTAGAACACTAAAGGGAGAGCACATAACCCTTCGGACATTAATGGCAGAGAGTGGTTCAACGCCTGACCTCAGAATAAATTCATAAATAACTGAAAGAAAATTGTAAATGTTTAAGAATTAATGCTGCTTGGTTTGAGCAGTATATTAAAATCATTTACTGCAAGTTTGGTTAAACTATTTTTGGTTTTTGAATATATGCAGGATGAGTCACGTAACTTTAGCACCCCCTTTAACTTTTGTACGGTTGAAATTGAATTTGCAATGCAGTAAATCATTTCATGCAATCTTCGTGGAAGTGCATGAAAGAATGGATCCAATTGATACGTGTATTCATTTACATTTTATCAATTGTTTTCTAAGAGATATTTGGGGTAACTTTGTTTTTTACTTGTACATATTACTTACATTTTTTTCAGTCTAGCCAGACGAACGTAAAAAGACAAATCCAATGATATACATATTGTCGTATATTAAATTATCATTTTTTTGAGTAAGTTTGATTTTTTGCAACTAGTGTTTAATGGATATTTTGAATGTAACAGCCAGTCACACAAAGTCACGCAACGCTCCTCCTGCTAGCGCCTGCTCGGGGACGCGAAGGGATCTAAGTATTTGAAGATATGAAACATATTCCTAATATTCACGAAACTGTTACAGTTTTTTTCTGAACTCTGCTTTCCATCCTTCCGCATTTTTATATTTTTTTCATTATTTAAGGATTGAAAATATGGATTTGTCGTAAGTAGTGTTTATTGAAATAAGATTGTTCTTTTTACACTCGTCATGGCAGACTGAAAAAATATGTATAGTTCCATTTGAAAAAAAACAAAGGTTCCTCAAATATTTCGTAAAAACAGATGATAAAATAGAAATAAATACACGTATCAGTTAGCCCGATTCTCTCATTCACTTCCGTGAAAACTTCATTGCAATGATTTCAACCGTTCAAAAGTTATAGGAGGCGCTGGAGTTACGTGACTCATCTGAATATGGTAGTTATATTTTGTACTATTTTCCCTCTTGGATACATTATTAATTTATTACTAGAAAACAAAAGTAATAATAATATCAATAATAACAACAACAATAATGATAATGATGATAATAATAATAATAACAACAATAATGATGATAATAATAATAATAATAATAATAATAATAATAATAATAATAATAATAATATGATATATACAGTTTGAAACCTTTTTTTCTTCTCCCATTTCTAAACGATTTGCTTGTGTTGGTCGCGCTCCTGGCACGTTGATCCCCCGTGCGCCCAAGAGCGTCCTCGGAGTGCGTTGGAGCAGCTGTTGCAGGCAGCGTCGTTGCTTGCAGAGGGAGACGATCGTGAAGGTGGTGCCGATCCCGGGCGCGTCCACCTTCTGCTACGCCGTGCTCTCCAAGTTCGGCCGCGTGGGCGTCTACGACGGCCGCCTGCGCCTCCGCGAGAGCTACGCGCTGTTCGGCGGCGACACCGGCCCCGGCCCCGGCCCCGGGTGAGGCTCACTATCTGCCGGCTGTTAGCGGCGTGTGCTGATTTTCTTCCCGTTTCTACGGGGGTGGGCTCAGTTTTCACTGATTTTTCGCACATTCTGTTGATTTGGCGATGTTTTTACGGCGGCATGACCTTCCTAACGCGTAACCCCAGAGGGCACACAAGGCCATTACGCGTAGACAACATACACAATCACAACCATGTCCGCGGCGGCATTCGAACCGCGATCCTTCGGTCAGAGACCGCCATGCCTCTGCTGCCACAGCGATCTCGGCTTCTCGGATCGGCAATGCTTACATCCAAACATGAATTACGTTATTTTTATCGGGAATTGAACTTTGATTTTCCGGTGTACACCGAGTTGCTCTACCCACTAGTGCTACGCTTTTGGAGCTAAGAGCCTCTGTGACGGTTGCATTTTCCATTTAACTACCTGGGCACAATTGTAAGTTTTAACAATTACATGCCAATATATTTCCGTTTTGTATCTGTGAACTTGCCCTGGCTAGTGAGGAGAAGTTATGATACAAAAATATTTGACTATTCAAGGAACGGTTGTTGCCAATTGCGAAATGGAAAACATTTTCCCACTTAACTGTTAAAACTTATAAGTGCGTGTTATATGCAAATGATGATTATTATTATTATTATTATTATTATTATTATTATTATTATTATTATTATGAAATATTCTGTAAACGATTGATTTTATGTAAAGAACAATGTAGAACCTTAGAGGGTTAGTGAACTAAGTCGTACTAGTACTTTAATACAACATTTCGTGAGTGCATTCGTGTTTTTCGTAGGTGCGCGCAGTAGAGGTGGGTGGGGGGTTGCATTGTAAGATAACAACCTAACGCCGGTCCTCCTTCGATCTCTTCGTCTGGCTGTTGCAGGGCGGGGGTGGCGGCGGGCGGGGGGCGGCGGGGCGGGCGCGGGGGCGGGGCAGGGCGCGCCCGAGGGCACGGGGCGTCGGCGCACGGGCCGCGCGTGGGTGACGGAGCGCCTGCACCTGGGCGACGCGCGCCGCTCGCGCTCTCATCCGACCGCTGCTGGATGCTGGCACGCGTCGGCGCTGCTGCACGCGCCGCTCTGCCACGTGTCGGCTGCGCAACGTGCCGCTGTGCGCGGCGTTACGCGGCCCCCGCGCGCGCCAGCACTCGCTGCTGCTGCTGGGCGACGACCGCGGGGGCGTGGCCGCGCTGCGCTTCCGCAGCCATCCGTTCGCTCTTCCGCAAGCGCCACCCCGACCGCGTCGACAAGTACTACTGGCTGGTAGGTGGCCTCAGCAGTGAAGGCCCGGGCCACAGCTTGCCCTCCGCTTGGCTGTGCTTGGACGAACGCTACTCATTAGTTCGTCGCCTGAACCTTCCGATCCTGCGTCGTTTCAGATCGGCCCAAACTGGCCCTGCTGTCATCCTTTCACCCCTAGTCGGTTCAGACAGGCACAAACTGGCTCTGCCTACCTCCCTTCTCCGTTAGTTCAGATCGGCCCAAACTGGACCAGCCAACCGGCCATCGCCCCTAGTCAATTCATACCGGCCCAAATTGACCCTGCCAACATCCTTCCACCCCTCCGTCGGTTCAGTTCCACCCAAACCGGATCTGCTGTCACTCCCCCACCCCGTTAGTCCAGTTCGATCTCCGCGGGCAGCTCCTCGCCCTCTTCGACCGCGTGCTCTCCGAGTACCGCCGACCCTTCCGATGGCCCCTGCCGGAGGACCGTCCTCACCGAGGCGGGGCTGCCTCAGAGGCAGACGCTCTCGTAAGTAACATTGCCCAATAAACTGCTGTGTGCCGTGACGTGGGTCATCTCTGTTTTCATTGCTCCTTCCCATCCGCCTGTAGAATAGGGAATGGGCCTTGTTCCGCTTCCCATGCATGTGGTGCCCGAGACTTCCCCAACGACAGTGGCGCTGTCGCACGTGCTTTAAATTCTCTTCAACGGCTCAGAATCTTCTTAGAGAAGGTCTTTCCGCTAAATCGACGCAGGGACTTGCCGGTCTTTGCTTTCGCTGTTCAGTAATCGCCACCCCAAATGCTTAATTGATTAATTGATTAGGGATTCCGGGCGGTGTCAACGGCTAAGGTCATTAGTCTCGTAAGTGTAGTGCATTTTTATCAGCAAGTGGCAGTGATCTTTTCCCCTTGGCTGGCGAGATCCGAAATCATCTACATAGGCTTACGGGGATTTTCCCAAACACGTATCTTCCACAATCAGCGTGTCACTACCCCAGCCGCTACAAGCTCTAAGCTGCCGACCGGTTTCTCGACAAGTGTTGTAGTGTTGTGCTTGTAAGAGAAGGTGTATGCAAGCAAGGGGTGAGGACAGGACAAGGAAGAGGTCGCGCGCGGTCGTGGCCCGTTTGTTAGGGTCCTGCTTCGTCATTCGCCTGGTATTGATCGGAGACACCATGGAAAACTACCGATCAAAACAGCCTGCCGCTAGGATTCTTCTCAAGACAGCGGCTGAATTCCACCTAGCTGACAAACTTGTGTCGAAAATCCTACTACAATCGGCACTCGAACCGTAGGACCACGCGGTGATAGGCACTGCAGTGACATCAGTTGATACCCTGAGCCACCTTTGTCTGTTCCGTCTGCGTCGACAAGTACTATTCTCTGATAGGTGGTGGGCGCCGCACTCTCATTAGACCCCTTCATTAGTAGAGCCCTTGGAGGCTATTAATTGAGGTGAGTCTTTCCCCTCTCTAAACTCTTTACTCCGTCGCAATGACTGAATATTCTCGTACCAATATGCAGTTGCGCGGTCGCTAAGTGATTGCTACTGTACAGGCGACTCGACAGGGAACGGTGAGGAGACTTCGAAAATGGTCTTGATGCATCTAAATTTAAGTAGTTCTTAGTTCTTTGTGCCAGCTGTGTAGAGGGCTGGTTCGCATTTATTAGAGGCAAACAATCTACGCGGCTTACAGTCATCTTAGAGAAGAATTCCCGGCAAAGCAGCCGGGGCGTGGCTGCACTACCCCGAATCTCTCTCTCTCTCACTCTCTCTCTCACTCTCACACTCTCTCTCACTCTCTGTCTCACTCTCTCTCACTCACTCTCACACTCTCATATGTATATATATATATATATATATATATATATATATTGTAAGTTTCTTCCCCTACCACGTGATGTAGCCAAAAGAAATGTTTGTGGGCCCTTGATATCAAAAAAATCATTCTATGGCAAAACGTATGTCCGTCCGCCTGTCTGTCCATCGGTCTGTGGTTAACTCTAGCGTCTGAACGGTACAGGCGATTTTCTCAAAAATTTATGTTACCTGATATATCTAAACGGGTGTTTTAATCATATATTTTCATTTTTGGGGGTACTTTACATTCAGCTTCTAAAAGATTTTCAATTTTTTTCAAAAATGACTTCAAATTTTTCTATTAACCTTTTTTCTCTGATAGCGCAAAGAAAGCTTAAGTGGTGCAGATCCCGTGTTCGTTAAAATCACGGATATTTTGATAATTGCAAAAGTACAATTTTTTTGGCCGTCTTCCTCCAAATACAAAATTGAAGATAGAGATTATTTTCCTTAATTAAATCTTATCTTTAAAGATAGGTCTTGAAATAATATCATGCTCAATGTTTCGAAAAGATGGGTAATGTTCTTGAAATTTTGAGCGAAATTTTGGCCATTTTCAAGTTTTTACCAATTTTCTCTAAAAACCGCTGCAATTTTCTCCTCATATGTCTTGAGGGACGATAAAAAATATGGTGCTGGTCCCAAGTACAGATATTTGCCTTAGACAAACTCTGTTGTAAATACTCAGCTCTTTGTAAAAAGACATGCGCATGTCTTTAAGAAACGTCAATTTATAAAAAATCTTTTTCTCAAAAACTGCTCCAAATTTTTTTCATGGATAGAATAAAGGGCAGTTAAAAGAGCAGCGTGAGTCAAATTTTCTTTGAACTCCGAATTTTATATTCTTAAATGCTTTTAATTTTTTTCCATGATCAATATTTTTTTTGTTTCACTCTTTACTAATGCTGTTTTTCGTTTCTATTTTTCGAGGTTTTCGTTTGATTTTGTATTCAACTATTTCAAATGTCCGCCTCTTTATCATTGATCATATTTTCTAATTCATTATTCCACATCGTCAGCTTTCGATTGTTTCTTAAGTTAGTTCGTTGTTGTAGTATTTCATCTGCAGTTTGTTTCAGAATATCTACTAACACGTGCCTCGTCCCATTGATATAATTAATTTCCCTTTTCAGTCAAATTCCATCCATCTCTTGTCATCCGTCTTCCTCTAACAAACCTATTCAAAATCTCGTTTCTTTTCTTAGTCTCTCTTTGTATTGACATCACCACTATAGTACATTAAATACTCAGTTAATTCTTTTGATTCTCTTTAATTGACCTCTGTTCTTTTTAATTCAGTTTCAGGCACTCCTATCACAACTAACCAAAGGAGACTTAAACAAATAATGCGCATAGTAAAACTATCTACATTTATGGCCCGAAGCAAAGAAGGGGCCTTTTCAGAATTTGCTCAATGGATCACGAAAACTGAACGAAAAATCTTATCGAGAGGAAGTCATTTGCTCAGAAGCTGGAGCACATTACTTCTTATAGGCATTTTTAGTTTTTTTCAGTATTATACAATACAAATGATAAATATTCCATTAAATATCGGTATTAAAATATATATTATTTTTCTTTTCATTGGTCAATATAGTCTCTAATTGTGTAGAAACAGCTAAACAGCAGAATTTTTTTTCTTGGCACTTAAACTTGTTTTACGATCTTAATTATTTAATGTTATCTAGCAAATGTAAAGGAACATGCGTGTTTTATTGTCGGGAGTCGGTCAAGGGAAGCCATTGGGATTTGTGTCAAGACAAGTAACTTGCATTTAATATAAATCGTAGAAAGGAATTCCACAAAAAGGAATGAAGATTTTAATACAAAATGTCAAATATTTTAACCACAATATAACAAATAATTTTCAAAGAAACGTATTAAATAAAAAATCCAACAAGAACACTGGCTAAATGGCGATCCTTTGAAGCCACAATTTGGTTTTGGTTAGTACATTTGGAACCCTAAATCATCACTACCAACTCCTGCCTGAACAATGAGTGTTGAAGTAATACTTCATTAGCATTCAATAAGAGTGAGCAGCCCGCTGTTCAGCACGCATTAGGCACGGACTTCCAGGATGTGACATCACCACAATAAAAATAGTTCCAGATATAGCATGTGGATGATCAGTAGTCGGATCACAACTACAGCCGCGAATACCGCGACAATGTTCCAAAGAGAAAGTTACGCCAAAATGCAACAGTAATTTAACAAGTTGAACTTGTGTGAACATTCCGTACTTATAAATCACCAATTTGAAACTGAAAATAACCTCTTACTGACACTGAATTTCGCACTACCATACTTTCAACTGTGCGTTACATCATACAGACTCTACTGTCCAAGGTTAAATATTATAATTTTCCAAGGCGTTTTTAGGACAGAAAGATTTATTGTTAGATCCGTGTAGTTAAATTGCCGATTTTATTTGTATAGAATCCGATATTACACACATTTCTGACCCCCCATGCTTCGTGGTATAGGTCCCCTGAATTGTAAAAATTCTCAAAAGTAAATAGTAGGTCCAAAATAGTATAATTTTTTAGAAAGGATTTTTATTTAATAATTTGCACATTCTGAATATATAATTTTAGAGGTTAAACATATATTGTGTACGTACCAAAAAAAACTACGTAAGTAAATGTAATGTTAATGTGAATAACTATTGAAGAAATAAGTTTGAAATGGGCACCATAATGAAAGAGTATCTCTTTTACATTTCATCAGGGCCTGTTGAAAGTGCTTAAGGTTTCACATTACTGACAAACCGTTCTATTTGATAACTATTCCAGAAATATGTAAATTAATGAAATGTAAATCTTTATTTTCACTATAACATAAGTATTATTTTCTTGTCTTCCGTGTATAGGCATTTGCTTTAAATCCTGGTCAATCCATGTGGAATTTGTGGTGAAGAAAGCAGAGTCGCCGTTTCGGTCGCGCTATTGAAATGGTGTTCATAGGTTTCGGTTATAGTTTCATGTTTTGCTTTGATTACATTTATTTGCATTAATAAGTTTCATTGTATTGATATTATGTATGGACATAATGTAACAAAACAGATGTATGAAAAGCTATTCCTAACGTGCAGCGTCTCTTGAGAATTTTAAGTCTGTCGTCCGTTACGAACAATCGTAAGAAATGAGTCAGATCTAATACAGTATGCGTTCTCGTATTCAAAGAAAAGATCAGTTTTATAGATGTAAATTTGCCTATTAAGAAGGTGGTGTTATGGAAAGTATTGAATAACACGCGGCCAGTATCACAAATAACTTGGTAAATATCAGAAATCTTCTACGAATAGTCTAATGGAAAAGGGGCTGAAATGTTCTTATGTCAAATTCCTGTTTCACATAAATACGATGACTGACTACAACAATGGATGTAGTTATCAAAATGCAATAAACTAGTAAAAAGTTGATATTACTGGAGCAAATAATACAGTATTTCTAATTTGTATGAAATTGTTCTTAAAAGAAGGTATTACGAAAAATAGTAAAAGACCTTCGGCAATATAACAAGTAACGAATACGGTTACAATCGAAGCGAACTTGAACCGCGTCCGTTATTTGCTGTGGAGGTTGGCCAGCGGAGGCGAGCGCTGACCCGCCCCGCCGCTTGCGCAGGAGCTGGACGAGCAGCCCGAGTGGGTGACGGTGTCGGTGGAGGCGAGCGTGCACGCGGACGCCGTGCGGCAGGTGGCGTACTGCGCAGACAACGACACCGTGGTGTCGTGCAGCGCCGACCCCAACGCCACCATCGTGGTGCGCCACCTGGCGGCGCGCCGCGCGCCCTACGTCTTCCGGCTGGCGCGGGTGAGCACTACACACGTTCGGGCTCATCGCCCAAACTTTTTTCTTTTTTCCTTTTTCCTTTTTTTTCTTTTTTTTCTTTTTTTCTTCCCCCCTTTTTTATTGCTATTATGAATCTGTTGCAGCCAACGTTTCTATACCCTATTCCGTCTCATTCTCAAGGCTAAAATAAATAAATAAATAAATAAATAAATAAATAAATAAATAAATAAATAAATAAATAAATAAATAAATATAAAATTTTAAAATTATCAAGTTGAAACAGGAAGAAAATGTCACATTAAATATATGAAAGATAAGTGAAGAATTCTTAACAACATTTATTATACACGTCAAAGAATATAAACAAGGTGCACATTAATATTAATGTCAAATATTCACGTGTGAAACTTCATGTGCACATTCCTTCTATTTCTTAATTTCGCAAATTGTCAGAAGTCATCTCTTACTCCCAAATGGCTCAATTGTATGCAAATTGCAAAAATAGAGATATGGATAGGAACTGATCGAACGTTAGAGGAAAGAAAAAATAACTAGTCGATTAACAATTTTGCTGGAGAAGAAAGATAGAATGCGAACAAAGTAAGGATAGGAAACAACAGTATATGGGTAAATAATGTGGTATATAGATTGAATATGTATGAGAATAGGAGAGAGGAGCTGAAACGAAGGCAAAAATATCGGGAGAGGGAGACAGGGAGAAGAGACAAGGTAAGGTATAGTAAAGATATTACTCATAATTAAGTGGATAATGGTAGAATAAAAAGGGATATTAAGATTGGACTATAAAACGTGTCAGAATTAAGAAATAAAGACAAGGAATTTTGGGAGGAGGTGAATAAATGGGACGTTGTTGGATTAGTTGAAACTTGGGTTGAGGGAAAAGAGGGTGAGAAATGTTTAGAATGGCTGGCTAAAAGTTTTAAATGGAAGATGCAGTTTCTAATAGAGAATCTAAGAATGGAAGAGGAAGTGGGGAAATAATCACTGAAGTGAAGAAAGGTACTAAGGAAGAAGAAAGATATGGAAGAGATAAGGAGAAGAAGGGCGGTAGGACAGATGTATATGTGTATATACACATTACAAATCACCCATAAATCATAATAATAGTAATAGTAAGAATGATGGTATTCTTAGGCACTCAATTCCCAACAAACCCTATTGCACTTCCTATTCTGTGGCTGCGCATCCAATCAGAGAGCTTCGATCGAATCTGGGGTGGCCCTGAAAAGCGGCCTTCATTTTTATACAGGATGCATGTTACTCTTCCGACATACTTTAGGAATAGATCCCTGAGTGAAAAAAATGTGCCAAAAATGTCTTGTGCACGCAAGGTCTTAATATATTACCTGCAAAAGAACGCGCTACATCTCCATCGCACAGCTCATTTTCAATGAGATACATCTGGCGTGGAGGCGATTTGTGCTAGAGGGGAATAGCATTTTTTGCTAGAAGAGCAAAATTTTTAAGAATCCTTATATTATGTAAAGTAAGTGCTTATACTACATCTCATACGCGAGGATAACGTATTATGTATTTAATTAAGATTAACTATAAAACGTGGCATTTGCTTACATTGAACAGTGTCTCTGTGACGTCGTAGGTAGCAGAAATCAGAGAAGATGACTTGGGTATAAACACAGTTTATTTTCAATACACGCATCTGTCAGCCGTCCCATTTATTACCGAAGCGCTTGTTACCAGTCAGCATCTGCCAACGCTTCAAGAAAATACTGCCCGACATGAGCCTGGTGCTGAGACCAGTAAGCTTGCGATGATCCCTCCGTTATTACATTTCCTTCATAAAGTCTTAATTAATGTCTTCTACATTATCCACAGTACCATTAGTTCTTAGATTATTATAGAAAGAGGCATAAATTGATAGTATTACGTGCACAGGTTTTCCTCAGCTCCGAAATTCCTACCGAAATTCTTTAGTTGAATTAAGAATAAATTGTAGTGACGAGCGCTGTTGACAAAATGTAACTACCGAAACTATCTCTCACTTATAATAGAAACTGTATTTCATTAAAATAACGAGCCAAAAATTTTATATAACATTCCTGTCGCGGAAATAACCAACACCAACCCTTCTCGCATCTAGAGAAAAGAGGGATCAAGGAAACGTGCGCGGATAATACAAACTTCAAGCAGCAAATTATGGAATTATGCTGCTTTTATTACTTGTCCATTGGGATATTTAACTAGCAACACATTCATTAAGAGCTGCGAAACTGTCACCCCCCTGCAAACTTAATTTGGAAGATTTTTCGTTTAGATCATGGGACTTTTTTATGTAGACATAGTTCGCCATTTACTACAAAGTGTAGGTTTCCTTCGTAAGACATATTAACCTCAACACTTGTCAGAAATTTTGGAAAATATGTGGGCAAATTTAAAAATGTATTCTCATTGGTTTCAGTGGTTTCAGCTGACTTATGAGAAAAATCGTCGCTAACCAAGAGATGCAAGACAATATTAGAATGGCTTGTGCATTTTTTCCACAAACTATTTGTAACGTTCAGAATATCGAGATTTCGTGACTGCTTCATGCCGAAGAATAGGCTCAAGCTAATATTAAAATTATTACTGGAATCGACCCAAGATGACATGAGCTACTTAACCATAATAAAACTCAAAATTAACAGATTGTAGCATGTGCCCGTTTTTAACTGGGTTACTCATTTGTTAACGTATTAGAATTATAATAAGGTGTTAATCTATATTAGATACTAATTTACAAATTACTAAAAAAGTAAACTATACATCTGAAAGAAAACTATACAGCATTCGGCTATGTGAGCGGTACCTTTGGTTTCGTTAAATACCTAGAAACTCGAAAAAACGACAATGAAACAGTTCCTGTTTTGCGTCAGAAATACAAATATTTTATTGTGCTTTTTCGCTCTTGAACAGGGTGGGCTAAGTTTTGGAAAACCATTTTGCGTGGTTTTGTTCAGCTGCTTTTTTTACTTTCTTGTATAATTACGTATATTCAGAGTAATATACGTAGTATATAGGAAATTATGTAATGCTGTGGAAATGGATTTCGACAGAAATACTCTATGTTTTGGTCCCCTGATACCGAGAAAGTGTTTGTTTTTTTCAAAACGTCCGTCCGTTTTTTTTGAAAAATGTATTAGTTTTTGCGCATTATTGCGAGAAGTTTGTGCAATATTAAAAAATTAGATCAAAAACAGGAATTCCTCGAAAACGGCTCCAAACTGTTTAAA